TAATAGACATTAGTCACAGGACTCAGGTGAATACACTTCTGCCTTTATAGCAATGGACGGGGTAAGCACCCTAGCTCCTGGAACAAACGGAAATTTCCAAAGGGAAAAGAATATTTCTATGAAAACTGCTTTGAAAGCCAAAACAACATCCAAAAGAAATAGAGGGTGTTGAAATAAAAAGAGAACTCAAAGTATCCCCTGCTCATCGTGTTTTTCCACTTAAAAGCATCTCTTTATTCCAATTTCCATTTTCCTGACCAAGGTAGGCGTTAATTAGAACATGCAGGTCTATGACGTGGCTTCAGATTACTAAAAATAGTATACTGTCCGGAGATTAACTTGACTCAAGGTGATTTTGATGCGTTCGGGCGCCATGGTTAGCAGCATATAGACAAAATAAAAAATGGATACTATAACGAGTGAGTCAGTTTTAAATACAATATATTACTTTACTCATGAATTTTGTTATTATAGGCTACAATTTAAGTGTTCCCGTTGGCTGTAATGCCATTGGTAATAGTGGCCACACAGCAGCAGCTGAAACTAAATGCTTACTCAAATCCGTCATAGATACAAATTATGTAGGAGAAACAACACCACTTGCTAATGATTGGGCTTTGAAAGGGTGTAATATCACACAGGCAGCTTTTCAATACGCTGGATACATACGAATTGGTAAAACAGTTGGATTAATTGGATACATAATCATCGGTTGCCTTTTTGGTGGAGCTACCGGACTAGGAGCTATTGCCGGAGGAGTTATAGGAGCTGCAATCTGGGGAATTGGAGAACTTGTTATTTGGTCATTCTCCTATTATGGGAATGAGCCAGCCAGCAAAGTCACCAGGCTGCTTGATATCATAATAGCTGGTTCCATTATTGGGGCACAAACTGGAACAACGGCAACGGCAGCATTTGTGGGAGGATTTGGAGGGGGTGCCGTTTTGGGAGCTATAGAGCTCATTGGTTGGCTGTTCTCTCACTGTGAGTGCCCACAAGCCAGTGAAGGCATAAAGCTGCTTGGAAACATAATATATGGTGTATTCATTGGCGGAATAGCTGGACCAGCAGCAGCAGTTTTGGGAGGATTTGCAGGGGTGGCAAATTGGGGGCTTGCGATTTTTGGAGGCTGATGACAGAATTTAACACTTGCCATGTGTAGTTGGCGTGTGGTACACAATTTCAAATTTACATGTAAATCTTAATCAATTTAATTACAATTAATAATTTGCTTTTGATTTATTTTTGTTATCTCCCCTCTACTTTACTATCTCTCTTTACTTCCTGCAATTTGTGTTTGTTTCTTAGGCCTCTTATAATAATAGTGATACTAATTATAATTATTTATAATAATAATAAAACCAGAATAATGTAAAACATTAGGGGCGGAGCGGAGCCCTAGCCACATCATAATAATCATCATAAAGATTGAGGCTATTTAACTTTAATAATAGTTTGAAGAACAGTCAATCTGTACAGACACACTTCATCAATAAGGACTTTGCCCAATAACTTTACAAAGGATGATGAACACATTAACAGAATGAGACTCTCAAAGGACTCTATACTTAGTGAAACATGAAATTAATT